TGTATTATAGATTAAATTATGGTTGGTCATTTCAAGAGAAGCATAAACTTAAGGCAAATGTTGTAGAGGAGTGAGCAATAAGAAGTCGCTTTATAATTAGAGATATAATACAAAATCAATATATACATGAAAAGGTTGGAGTAGTTCCTACAACAACAACAACATCAAGCCTTTATCCCACTACGTGGGGTGAGTAGTTCCTGTGGAAGATAAAATTAGAAAGAGTTGCCTTAGATGATTTGATCATATAAAACATTGGCCTTCTGATGATCCAATAGATTTGTCTTATGTTAAAGAAGTGTTAAACCTAGCAAAACTACTTTAAAGTATTAGAAGTGATATTTTTTATTACATTTGAATGAGAAATTGAATCTTAATAGGACATATATCCTAAGACAATACATTTGTGGTGACATATACCTATGTTAGTCGCTTAGCATAAAATATTTATTGAACATATTCTAACACTAATTATGAAGTGTATGAATTTTAACATTGCTATTACTTTAACTACGAATAACATATCCTAACATTGATATTTTGATTCTAATGGTTTGGAGTCTCGACGTTTGCACATCAGTACAACGGGGAAATAATCGGATGTGTTGGTGCTTGATCACTAAGTCTTGCCATCCTTCCTATAATGAGCCTTTCCAAAATATATCATAATAAAATATTTCTTTTTGGTATGGTGGAAGTAGTTATTTTCTTATGTGAGACTATAGTTCCTCTTTATAAAGAGGTTTAAGGACATGCTATTTTTTAGCAATAGCAATAGTTACAACAACTTAATTAGAACATTATTTCTGCTCTAAAATTCTTCTTCTTCATGTTGGATTTGGTTGGGCTTTTAGCAATAACAATAGTTACAGCAACTTAATTGGTAGCTTATGACCAGGAAGCTAGCCCTAGCGCTCTCTGGTGTGTTCCTGTGGTTCGGGCTACTCGTCATGGTGGTGTCGTCTTCATCATTCCTTCAGGGAAGTTCCTCTTTCTCTGATTTTGTTATTTTGGGTTTCTATTTTTTCGGTTATGTCCGGAACTTGCCGGCATGCTGCCTAAGCTATGTGACCCTTGTTTTTTAGGGGTTTCTTCATCTTCTCGTTCATTTTTGGATGTCCTGGAGGGTAAGCAAGATGAACCCATTTTTTCGGAGCTTAGGGTTTCTTCTTTTCGTGGTATTCCATCTCTTTGGATTTAGGAACAAGAAATTTCTATGCTTGTCGCGCCTTTCCAGTTCTCTCTGGCCGGATTTTTCCCTTATAAGCACCCTTCTTTGGATTCTATTCATCAAATTTTCTTCAATCTAAAGTTGAATGGTGAATTTTCTGTTACGTTGTTGGACTCGTCTCATATCCTCATTAAGCTCAAAAATGATCTTGATTATTGTCGGGTCTTTTGCCATGGATCTTACTTAGTTTATAACTGCTTTATGAAACTTACCAAATGGTCGCCCTGTGTGAATATTGGGGTGGAGTCGCCGGTTGTACCTATTTGGGTGTATTTTCCTCTGCTGTGCCCCCATCTCTTCTCTCCTCGCATACTTCATGGCTTGGGTTTGATCTTTGGAAAGCCCCTAAAAATTGATACTGCTACCTCTATTGGGTCTAGGACATCTCTTGCTCGTGTGTTGGTGGAATTAGATGTTACTAAAACCTATCTCGATCATGTCTGGTTAGGCCATGAATCCTCTGGGTATGTTCAGCATGTTATTTTGGAAGATTTCTCTCCTTTTTGTTCTTCGTGTAAAAAATTTGGGCATTTGTCGGGTAATTGCCATCCTGGGGTTGACTTACCAGTGCCGACTAAGGTTGCTAATAAGGATTTTATTGACTCTGACCTGATTGTCCCTTCTTCTATTATTGAGGCTGAGCAAGTTATTTATGTTGAACCCACTCTTTCGCCTACGGCTTTTGGTGTGAAGCCAGTGGTTCAGTTGGTTAATGTAGATCCCCCTCCATCTAACTTAGCTCTTGTGAATGTGGAAATTGATATGGAAAATAATGTGAACCTTTCGGGTGGTAAGGATGATGGTGTTGATGGTGTTGTTGTTTTGTCCCCCGATGTTTTACCCATTGTCCCTCAAGGTTATATTTTGGGTACTCTAGATCCCTTTGTGACCTCCCCTATAACTTGTCTTAGTGATGATGATCATGGTGGTGCTGGTTGCTTGTTGTCGGTGGTGTCTGCCCCGGCCGTTTTGGGTGAAATTTCTTTAAATCCTGTTGTTTTCGAGTGCCCCCATTAGGCTGCTCTTCCTTATGATAATTTGGGTGCGGGTGTTTGTGAGGTATCTGCTACCTCCAGCTCGACTCTGGTCATGAACGACTATTTAATTAACAACAACTTTGTGGATGTACCTGTTACTTTAATTGATCCTCAAAGTTTAGTGTTTCATGTGGTAGACAATTTGGGATTGGATGTTCGTGTGCAAATGGATTGGCTCCAAAGCTCATCTAATTCTGATTCAGATTCTGTATCTTTGGAATCATCTGGGGATGAGGATCCTGGCAATTCTTTTGCCTTGTTACGAGATAAACCTCTTGTTTCTATTGCCTCTCGTGGCAGGGCTCGTGGGAGGGGCAGACGTGGTCGGTGATGATGTACTTGGTTTTCTTTTTTGGTTAGCCTTTTGGTTGGTTGGCCATGGTATCAGTTCTCTGGGCTGGTTGGATGATCCTTTTGGTGATGGTGTGTGCACTCGTATTGGCACTTTCACTGGGGTTAATTGTTTTGGAGATCTATGTTTTACTTTTTACTTGTTTGTTGCTCGACCGGGCAATGATGTGGCTGGGGCTCGCTTCTCCGTCAGCATGGCTCGTGGTAACCTTGGTGTTGATTTCGTTAGGATGGCTGCTTCGCGTTTTGTTCCACCAATTGGACGGTCCGAGCTTGTCTCTTGGGAAGCTGGTAGTCTCGGCTTTCTACTGAGCCCTCGGGTTGTTTTTTTCCACTTGTTTTTGCATTTGCTTCTCGGATCTTGTATTAATCGCTCTTTTTATTGAATTAATTGTTCTGTTTTATTAAAAAAAAAAATCCCTAATTGGTAGCTTATATATTATATAGATTGTATTCATTTTAACTCTCACAACAAGTATTATGCTAGTTTTTTGTTACCATTTCTATTTTTTATTTGTTCACTTCAATTTTATTTATGTTTGGATTTGTAATTAAAATAGATTTTTGTCTTGCTACTATTTAAACAACAAAAATCTGTAAAGATTTCAACAAATGTGCTATAAGATACATTCACAACAGACCACTGACAAGATTCAAACAGTATGACTTGGGATTATAAATGAAAGTGCATTTTATTTATTTTTCAGAGTAATTATTATCCATTGGAATAAGTGTCATAAATTTATTTGAGATGTTGATGGAGGATATTAGAGGTGCACATGACATAATTAGCCTATTGTAAGGCTAATGTAAACAATAGTATAAATGGTATTAGTCATAGTTATAATAAATAAATGAAATATTTTAGACATTCGAGCAATTAAATTGGATAGCTCAATCTACAACAACAGATGTTCCCATTCACCATTTTTATCACTCTATCAAAAATTAATTTGAAAAGGCAACAGAAGTGTTCAAGTATTTAATGATCTTATCACTTATAGGACTTGCAACTCAGTGACAAAGCTTGCAGCTTTAGTACATAGTAAACTATCTTATCCTTTGTTGTTCTTGCTTTGCTCCAACCGACCGTTATTTTTGACGTCATTTGATCGCGGATGAACAGTACAATGCCAATATTGGCGTTGCACTGTTCATCTGTGATATTTTTCGGTTTGTATCGAACTTATGGAATAAAGGTGCAAAAGAAGAGAACGGCAGGTTACGGGGCAAAATGGCGTTCTATTGGAGATGAATCACAGTATTTTTTTGGTTTCACTGTATTTTGGAGTGAAAAATGAGATTTTCGGTTGGAGATGCCCTAAGAGAGCTTTGTTATCCATGTATCTTCTTTAGAATTGCTTGGATTATGTTTATTAATAGTTTATATTGGTTATTCAATATTTTTTATTACAATCCTGTGAAGGATGATTTACTCCCATTTCCACCAAAGTCAATAATGCATATTCTAAGATAATTCATTTGTTGGGCTGATCCAAACTTTCTGTTAATGAAATATCTTCACAGTAAGCTCTCATAGTATTTGTTAGCATAATAATAATCAGACTCATAAATTAAACTGAATGATAATGTTAACATCAATTTTTCAACCTATTCGTAAAATAATGCCTTAAATTTAAAATTTATCATAGATCACCTAATGAATTTATACATCAAATAACTGAAATTTAATAAAACTAAAATTTTTACTCAAAACTATGCCTTACAGCTTAACATTTAGATTATATTATTATTGATACGTCAACATAAATTATCTTGATCGGGAACGAATCTCAAGGCAAAATCAAGCCGAAAACTTCAAAAATTAAATCCGGCAGCATTTGAACTCCGATTTCAGTAAACTTACAGTCAAACTGAGCGTCTCGGAAATATGAACCCAACGACACCAAATTTTACTCAATCCGAGCCCAAATGAGTCCAAATCAAGGACCCAAAGCATTGTTGGAAGGTTCAAATCACAAATTGAGTTACTAAACGGTTTTCAAACATGATGAGCTTATAGTCAAATGGAGCGACTCGACGAGACAAATCCAACGAGCCCAAGATCGTTGAATTTCGATATTATTAAGACCTTCAAATGCCTTATAAACGGTCCATGATCAAAGGATTCAATAT